TTAATTAACTGATCATTATTGGCCTTGATACGTATTGCAGATGGGGACGGTGGGATGAAAGTTGGTTCATGTCCAAACCGCGGAGAATCAACTCCGATGAACTCAACATCTAGGTCATTAGTCCTAGTGAATTACTTTCCTGATACACCAGCAATAACGCAAGCTTGCAAGCATAATTCAGCTCCATTGATAAGGATGATGAACACATGTTATGAAGCTTCAGGCAAACGATGGCCTAACTTTATTGCTGTCGACTATTACAAGGTACACATTGTATGCGAAATGTCTTTTAAGCTAAAGCATGTATATGATGAAATGGTGCCCAATTTGGATTACTGTAAAACTAAATTGTGTATGAACATTTCAGAGAAGTGATGGTGGGGGAGCCCCAGAAGCTGTAGATGAGGCTAATGGTCATCTTGTTTGTGGTTGCGATAATGTTTCCTCTTGCGAGGTTTGCGGAACTTACTTCAATCTTATCCTTGACTGCAAGGATGTTTTAGTTATGTTTAACTAATAGTTAGTTATCTGATTTTTATGCAGGCAAATATGACTTATGGAGCTTGTAACGTGCCTGAAGCTGCTGCTGTCCCACCTGCATCTGAATCAGTAGCAAACGAATCCAACTTCATACATTCAAATAGAAGATCAGTTCAATTATGGTGGTTGCTTGGATTAGCCTTGCTGACAATTCTTTTGTAGTTGCAAAAGTTGTTTTGGTAGTTATAATTTGTAACCAATAGATAAATTATTTGGGATATGGTTTGGATGGAAGTCATGTGGTTACAGTAATTAAATGAATAAAGAAGACCAGAATCTTTTGTAAATCCAGTTATCTAGTGTTTTATTAATGGCTTCAATGTGAGTGTAGTTATTATTATTAATCTATATCCATCATTCCTGGTTGAATATAGAATTTGCAAAGTTTAGTAGTGTCTTTCTTTTTGGCATTCAAAATACTACTGAAATAATGTCTTTTACTCGCATAGTATTGATGGGCATCGTGTGATTGAAGTGATTAAATTGTTCATACTTCGTTGTCTAATCTGGCTGCCGATCATTGGAAAAATGTTTGCAATTAGTTTATAGAGATAAATTTTCAAAAGGGTATAGTGGCTGCATGTAGCCAACAAAATAAATAATTTCAAGGCTTCAGGAAGTATTAGCTGTAGAAGCATGGTAGTGATTATAGCCAAATTAATCCACTGATACATCACAGAAAAACTCTATTCAATAATAGTCTGAACCTCCTGCAGATCTCATGTAGAAAAACAAGTAGGTGGTTTCCATGGCCGGGTCTCAAACTTTAAGGTGGCAACAGTAAGAATTCAAAGTTTGATCATTTACAGTAGAATCAATCTAAAACTCTTTTACCAGAACCAAATGCATTTAACTATACATAGAGCACCATGCAAGGAGGGCATAAACAGTTGTGGTAATCAATTGTTTCTTTACTTGTTGGAACCAATAGAACTGTTATGCCTGGGAAATCAAGGGCTGACGTGGGAAATCACGTATGGGGGTGACCTGCTCCCGTCAGAACGGTAAGCACACGTCAGGCATGCAAGGCACCGTGGAGCTCCCACGTGTCCATTTCCCTATTCCAAATCGCGTAAAATCAGCTTGGAAGGTGGGCAATGGGACGTAAAGCCGGATTTAGTCCTGACATTCGCACCAACCCACGGATTTAATGATGGTTATCTACACTCATCTCACTATAAAAAGGAAGGATCTTTTTATTAAAAGGATTCGGCCTTCTTGCACTCTGAACTAGCTTTCTCTCTCTCTGATCATTATACTTTTGTATTTACTTTTCCCGAATTTTTTGTAAGTCAGTCCGCTGTTGCGACCTGACCCACGATTCTAACACAAACTATCAGTGGACATAGGATTTGCTACCTTAGCATCCGAACCACTTTAAAAAGCTCTCATTGTTGCATTTACTCTACATTTCATCCATAATCACGTATGTCTCTTGACCAATCAACGTTANATCGACCATCACCATCAGACAGTGGTCAGAAATCATTGAAATGACATACAATTAATTGAATTTGATCGATCGTGCATCGATTTAGCTAAATTTACTATGAGATTTGACCGTTGATCGATTTAGCTAAATTTACTATAAGATTTGACCGTTGAGGACCACATCTTGCTAGCAAATATGTATTTTATTAGATTGGATATGATAGTTGGGGTGGGGGATATCAATTGGAGATTATGTAAAGTAAGTTGAATCCGTTTTTTTCCCATTCGAAATATATGGGTTAACTTATGGAGTTGACGACTTTTTTCCAATCAAATAATGGTGTAATGACACTTTGGCTTTCAAAATACAAATTTATTACCTAAACATTAGATTTCGTTAACAGTTTTCCGTAAAAATATTGATATTCACTGTAAGATCGAAATACCCCCACCAAAGACCAATCCCCAATCCCTAGCCACTGCAATTTAAAGTTTCGCGCGCCTCAGCCTAAATTCTGACCGATTCCAACACCGAAAATTGACCCCGTCCCCACCATTCAACTCACTGAGGTCGCCCCACCAAAACCCCCCCTCACCCCCACACACAATCACTCCTCAATCGTCGAAGCCACTTGGAGTGGGGCAATTTGTCGAGCAATTGGTGTGCACCAACGAAGGAGTGCCAAATGGCCGCCGTCGGCAATGGAAACAGCCTAGAAAACCAACACAATCATCCCTCAAACATTCAATAAGCCCAAACAGACGCAATGAAACATCAAATCGAAGCCAATTTCACAGGAAAATAAAAACCCAATCACGGCGATGGAGGCGAGTTCGGCCGACGATCGATGGGCTAACAGGTGACGGGGTTTGGGGGGTTTTGTAGTGTGGAGTTCGGTGGTTCGAATGGTGGTGTTGGATTGGATTTTGGCCGCCATTAGCCACTATAATTTGGTTTAGAACACGAAACCCTAACAAGGCGATGGTTGGTGAACGGTGGGAGGAGAGGATTGGAAACGTTGGGGGTTTTGGTTTATGGAGGATGGGGAAGCTGGTGGAGGGGTGGAGGAAAGTCAACAACATCGGATTCTAGCCAAAACAGTCTGGAGAAGGGGATGCGCGCATGAGGACTCCAATGGTGGGTTCGATGAGGACCGTGGAAATGCCGGAATTGGCCAACGATGAAAAAAAGGCAGTCGAGGAAGGGAGATGAAGAAGAAGATGATCAATTAATTTACATTGACCATCTTGCCCTTATTTATAAGACACTTTTGACTATTCTGTAATTCTCTATAGAATAATACTTTGGGTACTAATGGATGAGTACTAATATGTGTACTAACTAAAGCATAGTACCCGTACTATGCGCATAGTACGGGTACTATGCTTTAGTTAGTACACATATTAGTACTCATCCATTAGTACCCAAAGTATTATTCTATAGAGAATTACAGAATAGTCAAAAGTGTCTTATAAATAAGGGCAAGATGGTCAATGTAAATTAATTGATCATCTTCTTCTTCATCTCCCTTCCTCGACTGCCTTTTTTTCATCGTTGGCCAATTCCGGCATTTCCACGGTCCTCATCGAACCCACCATTGGAGTCCTCATGCGCGCATCCCCTTCTCCAGACTGTTTTGGCTAGAATCCGATGTTGTTGACTTTCCTCCACCCCTCCACCAGCTTCCCCATCCTCCATAAACCAAAACCCCCAACGTTTCCAATCCTCTCCTCCCACCGTTCACCAACCATCGCCTTGTTAGGGTTTCGTGTTCTAAACCAAATTATAGTGGCTAATGGCGGCCAAAATCCAATCCAACACCACCATTCGAACCACCGAACTCCACACTACAAAACCCCCCAAACCCCGTCACCTGTTAGCCCATCGATCGTCGGCCGAACTCGCCTCCATCGCCGTGATTGGGTTTTTATTTTCCTGTGAAATTGGCTTCGATTTGATGTTTCATTGCGTCTGTTTGGGCTTATTGAATGTTTGAGGGATGATTGTGTTGGTTTTCTAGGCTGTTTCCATTGCCGACGGCGGCCATTTGGCACTCCTTCGTTGGTGCACACCAATTGCTCGACAAATTGCCCCACTCCAAGTGGCTTCGACGATTGAGGAGTGATTGTGTGTGGGGGTGAGGGGGGGTTTTGGTGGGGCGACCTCAGTGAGTTGAATGGTGGGGACGGGGTCAATTTTCGGTGTTGGAATCGGTCAGAATTTAGGCTGAGGCGCGCGAAACTTTAAATTGCAGTGGCTAGGGATTGGGGATTGGTCTTTGGTGGGGGTATTTCGATCTTACAGTGAATATCAATATTTTTACGGAAAACTGTTAACGAAATCTAATGTTTAGGTAATAAATTTGTATTTTGAAAGCCAAAGTGTCATTACACCATTATTTGATTGGAAAAAAGTCGTCAACTCCATAAGTTAACCCATATATTTCGAATGGGAAAAAAACGGATTCAACTTACTTTACATAATCTCCAATTGATATCCCCCACCCCAACTATCATATCCAATCTAATAAAATACATATTTGCTAGCAAGATGTGGTCCTCAACGGTCAAATCTTATAGTAAATTTAGCTAAATCGATCAACGGTCAAATCTCATAGTAAATTTAGCTAAATCGATGCACGATCGATCAAATTCAATTAATTGTATGTCATTTCAATGATTTCTGACCACTGTCTGATGGTGATGGTCGATTGCAATAATTAGGTGGGTGGAAGAGTTTTTTTTCTTAATTTATAAACTTTTATTTGTGGGGTGAGGTGGGGTGGGGTGGAGAGGGTTAAAAAATAATCTAAATTTAAAAGAGGGTTAAAAAATAATCTAAATTTAAAAAAATACACCGAACATATTTTTAAAATTCTATTCTATGTGATTAAATCCTATTCAGAATAGAATACCATTATAAAAACGTAAATAATCGAAGCCGTAGCGAGTAGCAACATCCATTTAGATAAAATTCACTGTACCAACACACTTTCCAAGAGGGAATTAAACTGTGGTGATAGATAAAATGACCATTTAACCGTGTCTCTTGAATGATAAAATGAAAACAAAATACAATGATAGAAAAACTAACCAATCACAATTTTGTAGAGCAACTAATGTAAACTGGGACGCGTAATTCAAATGTAGCTCAAAACTAGTTAAAATGAGAATAACGAAATGCCAATATAGAGGGTAATAAGACAGAAAATCACCACCTCTAAATCTATCATGTCTTCTAATGATGAACCAAGAAAACTCCTTCTCTACGTACTGGAGTTTTCTCCACCCAGTCTATGAAGATTCACAGTTCGATGAGGAATCACAACAACGGTAACTTTTAATCAATCTTCACGGATGAGAATAGGTAATGGACAAAGTAGAAAGACATTAGGAAGCCGATGGTGCCAGTGGACAACATGATAGCAACTGCCATAATCAGCGAATAACCAAGATAAAGTACAGCAGACACCGGCCCACTCAAACTCTGCAGGTCAAAGACCAAGTAATTGATCGAGTACAGGAACACATAGAGTGCAACTGAACCTGAAGCAAAGAATGCCTTCCACCACCACCGCCAATCCTCAACACAAAGATGCATGTATGTAAGAACCACGGATACTTCCGCACAAACAACAACCAGCAATAACAAAACTATCAGCAGAAACCCAAACACATAATAGAACCTTCCTAGCCAGATGCTGGAGAGAATGAAGAAAAGTTCAATGAATAGGGTTCCAAATGGAAGAGTTCCTGCACCAAGAACAAGAAGCCATGATGGATACTTGCGAGCAGGTATTTCTCTAGGAATCTGGTTGGTTCGTACAGGATACTGAATTGCCTCAGCTTGGGTCCCAAAGAATCCACCCAATAGAGTGAGCGGCACAGAAATGCAGAACCAAAGTGACAAGAGCACAAAATAGAGAGAAATGGGAATGGCACCAGTACTCTTGCTGCCCCAAAGAATGAAGTTCAATACTGTTAGAATAACAAAGACAATTCCAGGAAAGAAGCACGCAACAGACCAAGAGACTGATCTCCATCCTTCAGAGGTTCCCTTGATGGTTCTCCACATACGTACAGCAACATAACCAGCAGCAATACCCAAGAAAAGATATAGAAATATCATCCTTGTCAATAGCATTCCTCGTGAAGCTGGTGACATGAAACCAAAGGCTGCAAAAACAATTGTGACAACCGCCATCCTAGTAATTTGAACTCCATCTCCAACCATCACACAAAGAAGCTTTGAATGATCTGGTTCTCTGAATACATCACCCACAACAAGCTTCCAGCCAGAAAGTTCTTCATTCATTTGTGCTTGAGCTTCCTTGTCCAATTCCTCGTACCTTGTCAAATCCCTTCTCACAGTCCTCAAGAATATGACAAACACTATACCAACCAGGAAAACTATCACCATCAATGAATTAAGGATTGAGAACCAGTGGACACGAGCACCTTCCATCTTCAAGTAAGCATCCCACCGAGATGGCCATCTTGTACTGCTCTTGACAAATTCGACCTCGTATGTGAATGATATTCTCTCTTGCTCCCTTATTATTTGAGACTTGTCAAGCTCTGAGGGGCACTTCACTGTTGTTATGTTATCATACATGTGAAGTTTTGTCATAACTTCTGGATCATGCTTAACACTGCAAGGTACAACCTCAAAACCAACAATCTCATATCCAGCGGCCTTCTTATTATCAGATTCTGAAATCACACCCATACCTTCTTCACCAGTACCGATAATCTCAACCCCACTCCCCACATACTCATGAACCAAAACAGTGAACTTGAGATGATTAATAATGTAATCATCATTACTATTAGCCGGAGTATACCCCACTGGGAATCCAGTCCACTGAATAGTAACCCCATTTTGCTTTGCATATCTCATCACAGGCAAATTGTCCAAAATCATATTCACTTGGTACAAATCCCGTGTTCTCTGTTTCAAAAGCTTAACCTCATGCTCACTCAATGGATTCATAATGCAAAGAAAAATTGTCTCATTCAGATTCATACGAAACCGATATGGGGAGTTATCAATCTGATCTCCCATAAGGAGTTCTCCAAGATTCTTCGCACTTTTCTTGACCCCACCAAGTGGTGTACAATAAGGCAAACTATAGTAACTATACGGAAGCTCAGTCTCAATGGAAGTCAATGAATTAACTTTGGCAAATATGGGCTCCCTATTTGAGTACGTGTGCATATAACTTCCGGGCAAATAAAACCCATTGCAAACTTGCAGGAACAACAACACAAGGAGAAAAGCCCAATTAATTGTGGGCATTTTCTTCTTCGGTTTCAGTGACAAAAATGCCCGCTCAAATCAACCAAATAATGCAAACACTCCATATTTTCTCTCAAACGACGTTAACATGCGCATTCAACACGAAATCTACATCCAACAAACTTAATTTTGTCAACCTCTCAACATCATCTCTTGTATAAAAACAAGTAAACTAATAACAAATTTCTACTCTTAAGTCTTAACAAACATGCATAGATCCACAAACCGACATGTTGTATTTTAATCAGATCAAATTAAGTCACATGCAAACAACACATACAAAATCTACAAATTAACAACAAATAGATCAAGCTTCATAAATATAAATGACGAATCCTTGAAAGCTCACACAAGCAATAAGAGTGAAGTGATAGAAGCGTACCTGAAGCAAATCTGGAGAGATAAATTGGAGATGGGCAGAAATCTGGGAAGGATCCGAATGTGTGAAAATGAAGCAGAGGGTGTGGTGCGTTAGTTTAATTGGTTGGAGAGGAGATGGTTTCTGAAAGAGAAGGAGAGCATGGGTGTTGTTTTATATTAGGTTGAATTAAAGTGAAAAGTGAGTAATAAAACGATAGAAATGCTAAATGTTGTGATTAGTTTTTTCGGGTAGTTTTTAACTCGAGTTAGATCTCGTGGTTAGATTTGACACTCGATTTCGCGAATGTTATATTTATGGAATGGGCCAGCCTATTCGCAGTTTCTTGGGCCAGCCTTCGGGAATGGTTACAATGTAGTATCCATTTACAATAACAATAATACTACATCAATAACCCTCTCTCACAATCTTGACGTAATAGTTTATAATTAGTTAATTCATGACGGATCCCATATAAATTTCACTAATTAACTACGAACTGACCAATTACGAATTACCACGTTAAAGTTGTGAAAGAAAGTTTATAAAAAATGATTGTTTATATAGTATTACTCGTAGGAGGCCTTTGGTTGGAGGTTATGTGAGATTATTGGGGTTAAGTCATCTTATATTATTTGATTATCATGTTTAATTGTCAAGTAATATAAGGTACCGGTAATCTTCAAATACCAATAGTAACTACTATTGGTAATATTGGAGGTAATCTGATTACCTCAAATTTCTTAGGTATCTTATCCCTTATTAATAAAAATTTTGGACAATAATGCCCCTATTTTAAAATAAATGTACATTAATATCCTATTTCAATTTTACCCTTGTTTTATTAAAATTTTAGACAATAATACCCCTATATTTAAAACAATTTACAGACCACCACTGTCACCCAGCCACCACTGCCGACAGCAGGCCAACCACCACGGACTGCCGCCGGGAAGTCGCCGGAGTCCCTAAAAAAGAACGAGATTCGGTGGGAGGCTCCGGGAGGCTTCGATATGGTCGTTTCAAGCCATATTGATGGCCGAAAATGGTCATATCGAAGCCTCTCGGAGCCTCCCACCGAATCTTGATCTTTTTAGGGACTCCGGCGACTTTCCGACGACGGTAGTTTGCGGTGGCAGCAGGTGGTGGCAAGGGGTGGGGATGATTTCGTCATAAATTAAAGTTTTATATAAGCGGGGGTGTTTTAGCTAAATCTGAAATATTGGGGGTTAAAAAATTATTCAAAAATTAATAATAAAATTAATATTATATTAATATTTAAAAAGAGGACAATTTAGTAATTTAAATAACATACCTATCAATTTATTCCCCCTAACCAAACATATTAATATAACATACACACCAATTAACCAAACATATTTTCCTAAAGATTCTCAGTAATCTTCAAGGTAATATAAGATTCTAGTAATTCAACATTCGCTGAACTAAACGTCCTCTTACAATAAATGATTCTTTCCATGCAGCTGCAAACAAAATATTAAGCGTACAATACACTATTCAACCGTAGGGCTTCCTAATTGTAATTTTTTCCATTTTGTATTCGATCCAAGGCCCATGGCTCTTATGATGCTCCCATACTCCTGGTAAAAAAAACTCATAAAATTAAAAACAATGAAACACTTTAAAAATGGGGATTTAAATTTCAAATATTAATCATCTAGAATTCCAGGAAGCGTGTCTAGTGTCTACGACTGAATACTGATAAGCTGCTTGATGCAATTAAAGTTGTGACAATTTATGACAGGTGGCTGTATAGTGACGATCTTGCAAACGTTATCAGTCATGTTCTAAATAGTTTCCAGTAACATATTGAAAATGGCTTTGGAAAGTGATTTCTTGAGTTCACACTTCTACAGATCCTTTGAGCCAATTTGCAAGTAATGGCAACTGACAGGCGAAAACAATTTCTGGGCCACCCCACCAACAGACTCCCATTCAGGCATTCACTTTTGATATCCATCAACTATTCCCACATATTTCCTACTATTTTTTATTCACCCAAAAATGAAATCTAGAAACATGACTGATGAGATGTCTGTCCAAGCCTTTTGACCGATCAACGGCCGTTGGACACCTTATAAATACCACCACCCGACTTTCTCTCAATGCATAACCTCCCGTTTCCATATAAACACTAGCCAAACATGTCGCTTCAGCTTTTAACTTCATTTCTCCTTTTCCGTCTCCCATTACTTGTCTTCTTTCTCATCACCAAAGCCAGAACCACCAAATCTAAAGGATCATCATATCCTTCCTCTGATATTTTCCCCAAATCCTACCCATTAGTGGGCTCCTTCTTCTCCATTTTAGCAAACCGAAACCAATTAATCCAGTGGTCTACTTCCATTCTCCAAAACACCCCCACTGCAACATTTGCTTTGCCCAAGGTACTGGGCACCGTCACTTACTTGACTGCTAATCCAGCCAATGTCCAGCATATTCTCAAAACTAACTTCTACAACTACCCAAAAGGCAGAGAATTCCGAACAACTCTCTTGGACTTTCTTGGCAATGGCATCTTCAATATTGACGGCGAACAATGGAAGTTCCAAAGACAAATTTCGAGCCACGAATTCAACACCAAATCTCTCCGTAAATTTGTTGAAACCGTTGTTGAAACCGAGCTCTCTGATCGCCTTATTCCCATATTAGAGCGGGCTGCAGCCAACAAGGACGTCCTCGATTTTCAAGATGTTCTTCAAAGGTTTGCGTTTGATAATATATGCAAGATTGCTTTCGGGTACGATCCTGAGTACCTGTTGCCGTCTTTTCCAGAAGCTAAGTTCGCACGAGCTTTTGACGAAGGTGTTAGGATTAGCAGCGAAAGATTTCACGCACCTTTACTAATACTCTGGAAGATAAAACGAGTTCTCAATATTGGTTCTGAAAAGCGTCTGAAAATTGCGACTTCTGAGGTTCAGGAATTTTCTAGAAACATCATAAAAGAAAAGAAACAACAACTTAAAGAAAACTCCTCGCCTGAATCCATGGATCTTTTGTCACGATTCTTGAGCTCCGATCAATACGACGAAAAATTTGTTAGTGACATAATCATCAGCTTTACACTGGCCGGCCGAGACACCACATCGGTAGCTTTGACATGGTATTTCTGGCTGTTATGCCTGGGAAATCAAGGGCTAACGTGGGAAATCACGTGATGGGGGTGACCTGCTCCCGTCAGAACGGTAAGCACACGTCAGGCATGCAAGGCGCTGTGGAGTTCCCACGTATCCATTTCCCTGCTCCAAATCGCGTAAAATCAGCTTGGAAGGTGAGCAATGGGACGTAAAGCCAGATTTAGTCCTGACATTCGCACCAACCCACGGATTTAATGATGGTTATCTGCACTAATCTCACTATAAAAAGGAAGGGTCTTTTCATTAAAAGGATTCGGCCTTCTTGCACTTTGAACTAGCTTTCTCTCTCTCTGATCATTATACTTTTGTATTTACTTTTCCTGAATTTTTTGTAAGTCAGTCCGCTGTTGCGACCTGACCCACGATTCTAATACAAACTATCAGTGGACGTAGGATTTGCTACCTTAGCATCCGAACCACTTTAAAAAGCTCTCATTGTTGCATTTACTCTACATTTCATCCATAATCACGTGTGTCTCTTGACCAATCAACGTTTTGCACGTGTCGATTAGTTGGTGTCAAAATCACGCATCAACAGTTTTGGCGCTAGAAGGAGGGCCTGGTTTAGTGTTCATCCTTCATCAGGAGAATCTTCAACCTACTGGTCCTATAGCAACAAATGGCCCACCAATCTGAACTTGAGCAAGCCAACCAGCGCGTTGAGGGAGTTCCCCTAACCCAGGGGGATACCCCTTCCAGGATACTTCTAGTTTCACAAAATGTTGCGGTAGATATCCCGGCAGCTTCGCAGCTTGACCCCGCCATCAGAAGCTACCTGGAGAGGTTCGACAATACTCTCCAGACGGTCAACCAGAGGCTGGACCATTTGGACCAAGGCATATCATCTAGAACAGCTGGGGTGGTGCAACCGCCAGAAACGCCAGCAAGTCGCATGAAAGCACGGCAGAGGGAAATAGCCTGTGCCACGAGCACTGCAGCGCGTAGACGTAAGGGCAAGCAAGTGGCAAAAAACAAGCCTACACGCTCCTAAGGACCAGCGAACACAAACCGTGCCCCAAGCAGGGTGCCGACAAAGCTGAGATTCGACGAAAAAGTGAATCCCGAGCTGTCCCATGCCATGTCACAGGTGAACCCGAGCAAAAGTACCGGGCACGATGATTCCTATCACCGCCAACAGAAGGATCCTGAGATCTATCATGTGGGTGGTCCTCACACCTCGCGGGGCGGTTCGTACCACCGCGAGGGTCGTGAAAATGCCCCGTACAATCCATCGCCTTCACACGCCTCTAGTCAGCATGTGTCGAGAGCAGCCAGAAATGCCGGCTGAGGCGAAGAGGAGTCTGACCTCTGAACTTTCCTGAACCGTAATCGCGAAGGCCGAACTCGCATGGGTGAAAGCAATCCCCAATTAGCTCCGTTACCACAAATTGAGGAGCTACAGCGAGCTCTGGATAGGTTGAGGGAGCAGCAAAACAAGCAGACCCAGGTCACCTCTGCATCCCCTTTCTCTCCCAAAGTGCTAGCTGCTCCATCCCCGTCGGGGTTCAGAATGCCCGACATGCGGCCGTTTGATGGGAATCATGACCCGCAGGATCATTTGTATGAGTTCAACGACCTGATGGAGCTCCATCAGGTTTTGGATCTTGCAAAATGCCGTTGTTTGGTCGTGACGCTGACTTCTCATGCCAAGTGGTGGTTAAGGTCGCTCCTAGCGGGATCGATCAGTTCATGGCCTCAGATGAGTACGACGTTCCTACGACATTTCCAAGCAAATCGAAAGTTTTCGATGCCTTTGAGCTACCTCAGCAACATAAGGCAAGAAAGAGACGAATCCCTGCAATCTTACATCGACCGTTTCCACAGGGAACTCAACAAGTGGCTCATGCCCCCGAAGAGTCTATCCGAACACTTATAATAGCTGGAGTTCGCCCGCAAACCAACCTGTGGAAAGAACTACAGGCTGAGGACGATGTTTCCCTCACCAGATTTTACAACCTTGCAAAAAAATATCTCCGAATAGAGAATTCATTGGCGGCACTCCGTCATCGCGATCACGGTACTTCAAGCAGTATATCTGGTTGGGGGGA